AAGGCACAGGGGTTGATGTTGAATTTATGTAGGCTTTGATTTTCAGGCCATCAATAAAACTGATATGCGCTGCTGGAAGAACGTGAGGGTCAGTTACTATAGTGAAGCCCTGTGGCTCCTCGTTCATGAGTATCATTCCAGCAGCCCCAGCGTCCTTCACAAAATGTCCTATATCTAGTCTTTCTATCCCATCACCAGCTTCACACAAAACTATCTTTCCTTTCACATCAATATTTTTCAAAGACGGGGCACTGCAAAATGGGGCCATCGAATCACTAGTATTTGTTCCAGAGTAAACTAATGGCAGCAGATTTTGAGAGAAGTCTTCTGGTTGGAAGGCTGATTCACCATCAATTTCTTCACCGTTTCCTAGCAGTACGGTTGCCCTTAATTTTCTATCGGTGGTGCTTGCACCAACAGTGAGAAGCCATGGAGCTCCATTTGCTACTGTGCCATGTTCTGGACCTGTATTACCAGCTGTGGTGCTCACAAGAATGCCATTTTCAATTGCAGTAAATTAACTGAGTGCAATAGAGTCCCCCCAGAAAGGTCTAGAGATGTCATCAATGGAAACTGAAATTACATCAACACCATCTTCAATTGCAGCATCCATAGCAGCAAATGTGTCACTCTCAGAACAAGCAGCGCTAGCGTCACAGACTTTATACATGGCAACATGAGCAACGGGGGCCACGCCTGAAGCCGTTCCATTAGCAAGGTAAAAAACATTGGCACCATAGACAGTTTCCAGCAGCCGTGCCTGAAACATGTGTGCCATGCCCGTTCTCATCCAATGGTGTTCCATTTCCAAACTCCTGGAAATATCTCGCTCCAATGAGCTTGTTGTTGCAGGCCGTAAAGTTGAACTCACACTTGCCCTTCCACTTAGCGGGTGGAGGAGGCACTCCTTCGTCATGGAACGATGGATGATCAGGTGTTATCCCAGTGTCCAAAAATCCAATAATCATACCTTAACCATAGTTTATACTTTTCCAGAAGCCTAAATTCTGGTGCAGTCCCAGGAGATGAGTACTGTGGGTGGTTCGTGCATGCAACAGCCTTTGTGGCTGCACTGATATGATCCCTTCTGTTCCCTGCAGTAGCTCTGCTTCATCTCTTGTTAATCTAGCTGCAAAACCATTAAGGACATTGCGATAAGAGTAAACTATGCGCGAGGATGAGGAATCATTTAGGTTGGCCATGAAAAGTCTCAAGATGGACAATGTAAATCTCTGAGTTGCTTTGCTGATTGGCATTACTTGCATGTATGACTGAAGAACAAAAACTAAGAGTAAAGATAGTATTTACAAAAGTGTCAAACCCATGTTAATCAATGCTAATTAACGAGCCACATTTCTTGTAAGCCTAATATATAGTGCTAATTTCTTCTGGTAGCTTTTGATATAATTTCTTTAACAGTGTCTTCAGTATTGAAGTAATCGAAAGAATTTGATTTACACTGGTGTTCTGAGAAGGAATTGATTGGTTCTGCATTGTCCAATTGGCTTGAAATGCAATCTCTGTTTGAGCAAAGAAATGAAAGCCTAAGACAAGCCCATTTGGAGCTTGCTTTGGTTGTTATTGGAATTAAAAAATCTTTTTGGCTTTATCTAACATGTTTCATTTTGGAATTAACTGATCATTTGCAGGCTGATGACTGTTGGCGGAGGTATCTACTGCTGATGGAAATAAACCCAAGGACTTGCTTAAAAGCATTGTGGATGAATTCAAGAACTGTTAGATTTAAAGCACAAATGACAGCAAAACACGATGAAGACAGTGTCTACTTTTAAACACAACAAGAAGCAGGGAGAATATGAAGAACTAAAACTGAGAAGATGACTTAGAGAAACTAATATACAAAGAGTTGATATATTGGTGTAAAAAAAAAAACTGAAGAGTGAATCATGTACACTAGATTTTACTTCTTTGCTGGCCATGTTACTCTTTTTGATTTGCATTCTGTTTTTCCTTTGTGCAGAATCATAAGTTCATATGTCGCTCCGTTATGCAAATTTCACCGATTTTTTTTTTTTGTTTTCACGATCTACCTTTAATTGAGATTGGGTTAACATTTCATGTTTTCCCTCCTACTATCCATACATCGTATTGATTTAAAAATTTCATGTGAGTTTAGGTTAGTTTTTTCTTTGGTTTTAAATTTTATTTACTATATGCCAGTGAGATTAAGTTATTCTTTCCTTGAGAGTCATGTGATTTGTGGGAACAAAAAATAGGTAGACTATGCTTAAAGTTTGCTAAACCTGCAACAGGTTGAATTTGGTGGGAGCTGGAGTTGATTTTGGCAGTTCCACTTTAGACTAGTAGGTCCCAAGAGCTGAAATTCGATTCCGAGGTGGCTAAACTTTAAACCCTTTGTAACTTTCGGCTATGCTTTAAATAGAGGTCCTAAAAGAGGCTATTCGTGCACTTCGCCCTCACTTTAAGCAATACTATTAGGGGTCGTTTGGTAGGATGCATTAGATAAAATAATGCATGCATTAGCTTTGCGTATTAATAATACCTTGTTTGGTAGACATTGTGAACCTATGCATTAGTTATGCAAGCATTAGTTATACATCCTATTTGGTATTATCGTATGCATAACTAATGCATAGAAAACTATGGTATTAGTAATGCAATGGGTTTTAATGCATGCATTAGCTTAGCTAAAGACAAAATTGTCCTTCAAAATTTATGCTTGATTAAAATATGCTAGTTATTATATTAATGCAAGTTTAAAATAATCCAAATAGTGAGAAATGAAATTATATCTCTAGTAAATAAATAAATACTTAGCATATATATATATATATATATATATACACACACACACACACACACACATATATATATATATATATATATATATATATATATATATATATATATATATAAATGTTATGGTGTTCTCCTGCTGGTATTTAATATTTCATTTAACGTTGCTTTCATTTAGAAGTCATCGAAAGAATTTGAGTTCAGTGGAGATTTGACAATTGAGAAAGAAACTGATTATTATATATGTTCCAATTGGATTGACTTCAAAATCCCTCTTTGGACTATGAAATAAACGCCACAGACGTAGGCATTTGGATCTTTGCTTGGTTACGTTGTTAGCCGAATAGGAATTATTTATTTTAGTTTCTACAAAGCCAATCTTTTGCAGGCTGAAGACTGTCATAGAAATGAATATTTTTCCGAATGGCCAATCATCTGTAAGTTCTCTTTAGTGGCCAAACATCTCTATTTGCGCTTTGCTTGCTAAAAAAGCTTGTTGTAAAACTCAAGAATCAAGTTTTCTCGATCTTCACGGAGAAGTCAAGTTGTTTTTTTAGCCTGTTTATCTAAGCTGGAGAAATAACTTATTTTGATAAAGTGCTTTTAAGTATTAAATTACGAATAAGGACATGAATAGATTTACTTAATAGTTAATATTATAAGTAAATAAATAATCTCAAAATTTTGTTATTACAGGCAATAATTAAATCTTTTCATTTTATTTAAGTAAAACATCAAAACAAAATTAAAAAGTACTTAACTCTTTTAATAAAAGTTAAATATATTAATATTCATTCAACAAATATTAAAGCATTCACCCCTAAAGTCATTATATATTAGAAAACTATCCTAAAAATAAGAAGAAATACTTATAATACATTAATATCCTAAGTATTAGGTTTAACAGGTTATTTTGGTATATACTATATTTTGTTAAGGGTATTTTAGGTAAGAAGAAAAGACTGCTTCTACTTTTGGGAAGAAGTTACTTTTTTCTGTTTCTCAAAAATTGTGTATGCTTCTTCCCAAAAACACTTTTTTTCCCCAAAAAGCTTGGCCAAACACCTCAAGTTTGAAAAAAAAGTGCTTTTGAAAAAAATAACACTTTTGGCCTCTTGAGAAGCCGGGCAAAACAGGCTATTTATGTAGTTGATGTACAAATCCTAATGTTTCTCTTCCGTACTCACCTTAGATCTGTTCGGTATTCTCGAAATATACGTCAATTATGACGTTTAGTTACTACTATAAAATATTTTTCGAAGGAAAGAAGGAAAATGACTTCCTAACTTATACTCTATATGGCCAAGCTTCTTTTTGGCCAAAAGTATTTTTTTTTTTTTACCAAAAGCACTTTTAGTCAAAAATTGAGGTGTTTGGCCAAGCTTTTAGAAAGAAAAAAAGTGCTTTTGAGGAGAAGCAGAAGCAGAAAAAAGTAACTTCTCTCCAAAATCGCTTTTTTGAGAAGCACTTTTGAGAAAAATACACGTAGAAGCAGTTTTTTAAAGCTTGGCCAAACACTAATTGCTGCTCAGAAGTGCTTTTCAAACTAATTCGCCAAACACAAACTACTTCTCACCAAAAGTACTTTTGAGAAAAACACTTTTGAAAAAAAGCACTTCTCAAAATAAGCTGGTTTTTGCAGCTCGGCCAAACGGGCTATTAACCTATGAGCAGAAGTTATTTCTTATCGTATACATAAACTTGCAAAATGTTAAAAAAAAACTAGTAGGCATAAATCTCAGAAGAAGAAAAAAAAGGACTAGAAAAAAATAGAGCTACATACAAAAATCCGGCGTTTTTTCCTTAATGGAGGAGGTTAAACAACGAGATATGAATTTAAGTTATGTTATCAGGTAGTGTAAAGAATGTTTCACTATTAATATATTTTCATACGAAATCTTTTTAATTTTCATGTTGGTGCTGTTATTATTATTTGTAGTATAACCTACATGATCATGAGATTAACTAGGACGAGTCAAATTAGGAGCCTCTACATGATCAAGAGATATTCATTGACCTATTACTGCTTGCACTTCAGATTATTATTTCTACAGTTAATTGGATTTGTTTTCAAGTACAATCTTTATTTAATGGATAGTCCAATCTATTACGACAAAAGGAAAACATACAAGTACAAGCTAAGTTCAAATCTCAAGGAGAGGTATACATAATTATCTCTCGAATTTATTGATCAATACCGAAGAAGCCTGATGGTGCTTTCACTACTCCAAAATAACTGCAATGGGACTTCGGACGACGTGCTTATCCGATGACCATTTCAGGTATCCTTGCACAAAGTTTGTGTTGCGGCCAGTGCCAGATGCTGAACGTGTAAATGTCACTTGATAGGTCATTCTCTTCTTCACTGCAGAAAAGTTCAAACTGCTAGGACTCACAGTTACCTCAACACCTTCAGGTGGTAAAATCTCCACATTGTAAGTTGAATCAGCCTCACCAACATTAGTTACAGCCCTTGTATATTCCCGAGTCTCTGATCCAAGTTTGATAGAAAATGAAGGATAGTTTAGCTCTGCCTCAGGTATACTATTTGTGCAATTCACCTTCTTTTGAAAGATCGCGCTAACTTGTTGGTCTGTGTAGTTTAAACCACATAGATAAGGCACGTAATCCTGAGCTTGGATGTCATAGATTAGACCAGGATCATTTGCTCTTGATGGATTCACATGTCCTGCTCCAATTTCAAAGACGTTAGCTGGTAAATGCAATTCATCCTCAATCGGCTTGTTTCCAAGATTAACCAGATCAGCAGTGGTCATAATCGCGGACTTAATAGCAGCAGGAGACCAATCTGGATGAACACTTTTAAGCAAAGCTGCAATTCCAGCAAGGTGAGGACAGGCCATTGATGTCCCAGAAATCATGTTGAAAGTCAAGTTTGTATGAGTATTATTTTCAATAGAAGTTGGCCAAGCTGCGAGGATATTGAATCCAGGGCCAATAATATCTGGTTTTAGTATGCCTGGACTAGCTCTGTTTGGACCTCTAGATGAAAAGAAAGCAACTGTAGGAGCATGTTTATCTCCAATTACAGTTCCCTTAAATAAAATACTGGCCATAGGGGTTGATGTCGAGTTTATATAGGCTATGAGATTTTGTGCATCTGCATAGCTAATGCGCGTTGCAGGAAGAACATAATCATGTGCAGGTATAGTGTAACCTTCAATATCTTCACTCATTAGAATCAAGCCAGCAGCACCAGCATCTTTCACTGGCTTTCCTTTTGCAATTGCTGTCGCGCCAACCGTTCCACACAACACTAATTTTCCCTCAACATTTGTAAGTGATTCTGGGCTACAAGCGAAAGCACCAAAATAACTGCTGTTTAGTGCTGGGTAAACTATTGGAACCAATGTTGGAGGGAAATCATTTGGTTGGTAAATTGATTCACCATCAAATTCTACGCCGTTTCCAAGTGCTACGGTTGCCTTCATTTGTCTATCGATCGTGCTAGCACCAACAGTAAGAATCCAGGGGGCCTCATTAGATAAGGTACCAGTATATGGACCTTCATTTCCAGCTGAGCAACTTACAAGAATTCCCTTTGCCATAGAACTAAATGCACCAAGTGCAATATTGTCATCCCAAAAAGGGCCAGAAATTCCACCAATGGAAATGGATATGACATCCACACCATCATCAATCGCGGCATCCATGGCAGCCAACATGTCACTTTCGGAACACCGGCCACTTGGATTGCAAACTTTGTACATAGCCAAGTGAGCGCGGGGTGCAATACCAACGGCTGTGCCGTTAGCACTTCCAAACACATTCGCACCATCAACAAAATTTCCAGCAGCAGTGCTTGAAGTATGTGTACCATGACCATTTTCATCTAACGGTGTCCCACCTTCAAACACCGAAAAGTCTCTTGCTCCAATGATCTTGTTGTTACATGCTGTGAAATGAAACTCGCACTTTCCCTTCCATTTGGCAGGTGGAGGAGGCATTCCTTCATCATCGAACGAAGGATGTTCTGGATAAATTCCAGTGTCCAACAGACCAATAATTACACCTTCGCCATAGTTAGACGTATTCCAGAAGCCTAAGTTTTGGTGCAACCCGAGGAAACTTGGAGTATGAGTAGTTTGGACTCGCAATATCCTTTGAGGTCTTATGGAAATAAAGCCATCCTTCGTTTCCAATAACTTCACTTCGTCTGGTGATAATCTAGCAGCAAAACCACTGAAGACATTTCGATAGGAATATATTATGCGTGAGGACACATCAGATAATAATGAGTACTCGTGTAGATTTTCAGGTGACTCAACGTGAACAATATAGATTTCTGAATTACTCTGCTGAGAAAGATGATCACTGGCTGATATGATTGATAGCTGAGAACTTACAATTACATAGAAAGTAAGGAAAACCATCAAAGCCATGTTTTTGCAATGGAGTCAAAACTCCTATTTAAAACATTGCTTTTATATTGTTTTTTCAGCTGATATAACTATGTTCAACTATTGTTTTATTCATCATATACTTAAAGAACTTATCAATAGGACATTGGTAACTTCAGTAGCTTTGGACTACACTCTTCTTAGCATTGTATAGAGATACAACAGTCCTAGTAAATAGCAATCTAAGCCATCTTCTTCCATTTTCATATAAAATTATGTTTATATAAGTTCTAAAGATGATAATTACATCTATTTCCAGAGTAGAGTGCAGTGCTGAGAAATTCATTTCTGCCAGAGCTGATATTTACAGCTATGGCATGATGCAGATTGAAATAAAAAATAGACAAATAGTATTAAGCAATGGGTAAGTGACTCAGTGTGCCATTCAACAAATTATTTACTTATGACAGATAAGGAACACTTTGCTTAAAAGAAGCACTGGTTTTTGTTGATCATTAAAGTAGAAATACTTTGTAGAGTAGACTCACCTCAAATCATGAATGAAGGATCAGTGCATATTAAAGTTTAAATTCTTAAAATAAATACAGATCATCAAGCAAAAGAAAACAGTAGACAAACTATCAGCGGCTTTTCATAACAGTATTCTCCATAGTTGTAGTAACTTCCAGTAACATTCTTGTCATGGGTTTAGGTCATTCAATAACAAGAAGAAAGCTTCTGTTTGATCTTTTCCAATGCTGCTACAACATCAGTCATGTTCATCCTTTCAGCTGGAATATTAGCTGTGCAATTCATGGCTAACTCCATGATGGATGACACACATTGCAACTTTTGACTTAAGTTTTGTTCATCCAATGTTAGTAAGTCGGCATCTATGATCTGGTCCAACTCATCAGGAAGCGAATTATACACGCAGCTTCTCAAATTCAAATCTCCGGTGAATATTTCATCATTAGGTTTCTTCGCGGTAAAAGTTTCGAGCAACATGATACCATAACTATAAACGTCAGACCTCTTGGATATAAGGCCTTCCAAACCATACTCTAAAAAAGGAAAAGTAAAAATATTTCAGCAAAAAAAACTTATAACGCATTAATCTATAACCTTGCTACAAGTTAATTAAATAAAAGATTCACCTGGAGCAATGTAACCAATTGTCGCAAAGGTTGTAGTGTGAGCAATAGATTCTTCCTTAGTTAAAAGTTTTGCAATGCCAAAGTCACTCAGGTGTCCCACCATGTCGTTGTCAAGTAAGACATTGCTAGGCTTCAGATCACAATGGATAACTGGTACCGAGTAACCATGATGGAGATATTCCAGAGCAGATGCAACATCGACCATGATATTCAATCTTTGCTTTATATTTAAACAATAATCTCGAGAATAAAGCAACTTGTCTAAGCTCTGATTTGGCATGTACTCAAGTATCAATGCTTTAAAATCCAAGTTACAACAGCTGCTAATGATCTTGGTGAGATTTCTGTGACGAAGATTCCGTAAGACTTCACATTCTCTATCAAAGGTTTGAAATGTACCTTCCATCTGCACATTGAAAACTTTGACAGCCACTATCATCCCATCTGCCAATGTCCCTTTGTAAACAGAACCAAAACTTCCACTACCTAGCAAGTTATTTCCATCAAAGCCCTGAGTTGCTCTTTGAAGTTCATAGTACGAAATTCTTTGTGATGCTACCTCAGGCAACCACTCATCTTCAGCTTTGACTGCTTTAACCCGACGTCTCCTCAACACGAAAACAATTGCTGAAGCAAGCACTATTACAACGATAAGTGATGATGCAACTACAATCCACATCAGTCTTCTTTTCTTTGAATTAGAACGATTCTTTGAATTAGAAGGGCAAGGTGGGACATGCTTTTGAGGGTTACCACACAATCCTTCATTCGACATGAAGGACTGGTAAGGGAGATGAACAAAAGGTCCTCCATTTGGAATTTCCCCGTGTAACCGGTTGAATGAGACATTAAAGGAGCCTAGTTGCTTAAGTTCCTCTAATGACATTGGAATCACACCAGATATATTGTTATATGAAAGATCCAATGCTTCCAAATTTATGAGTTCCCCAAATGTCTCAGGAATAGATCCTTTAATTCTGTTATGAGCCAAAGATAGTTGAGTCAATTTCTGTAGACCTCCCAATGTAGTTGGAATGTTTCCTGAGATTTGGTTCCAGGAAAGATCCACATGTATTGCAGACTTGAGGTTTCCAAATTCTAGTGGTAGAGAACCATTGAAGAAATTAGAAGACAAGTTCAGCTTCAAAATGTCGTTGAGTTTCCCTAGACTTGAAGGTATGATAGCAGAGAAGTTATTAGAATCAAGATAAACCTCCCTTAGGGAAGTCACATCCCCTAAGCAACTAGGAATACTTCCCTGCATTTGATTTCGTGAAAGGTTTAACAAACCCAAGTTGGATAGCTCACACAAACCATTTGGGAAAGGACCACTTATTCTGTTTGCTCCAAGTGAAAACTGTTGAAGGTTTTTTAGAGAACTTATTGTCATGGGGACAATGCCAGTAAATTCATTGTCTCCCAGCTTCAACAAAGACAAAACTCTCAAATTCCCAATTTCCACTGGAATATGACCCCTGAGGTTACAGCCATCTGCTGAAAACGTTTGAAGAGAAGAAATATTGCCGATGGAATTTGGAAGCATTGCATTTAAGGGATTGAAAGACAATATCAATTCTCTTAAGAATTTCCAATTGGCCAAAGGAGTAATAAAGCTCAAATCACTTGTCAAGGAGTTACCGTACAAGTCAACAACTTCAAGAATTGTTAAATTTCCCAAAGAGTTAGGAATTGATCCCCTAAGTTTATTTCCACTGAGTTTGAGAACGGTAAGCATTGACAAATTCGAGATGGAACTTGGTAAAACACCATTAATGTTATTGTCAAGTAGATGGATTTGTTGAATATTGGGTGGCCAATGGCCTATAGTGGAAGGAATATTACCTGAAATGTGGTTTTGTGCGAGTGAAATTACTATAAGACTTGACATATTGAAGATACCAACAGGGATCGACCCACTAAAGTTATTCAAATCCAACTCAAGTTGCGACATCAGTTGAAGGTTACCGATTTCATCAGGAATTACACCTGCAAAATTAAGATGCATGATGATCAATAGAATTGTCCGGAAAACTGGAACTCTAAAATAACGTGGATTATATATTTTTCCATACCTGTCAACTTATTATTTCCAAGATCAAGAACGCTAAGCAAAGTCAAATCTCCAACCTCTCTTGGTAAAGGTCCTTCAAGCTTGTTATTCCCCATATATAAAAGTCCAAGTGATGAAATGCCGAATATGGTTAAAGGGATTGAGCCAGTTAATTTATTGTTTTCCACGACTAAATAGTCCAAGTTAAGATGACCAATCTCATCAGGAATTCTGCCTGTCAAAATGTTTAACAGAAATATCACATAAAAATGTGATCTATTTTGACAAAACTTATACTAAAAGTGGGAAGCCACAAATGTCAAGATTGAATTACCAAAATAACAATGTAAAATTGATGGACCCATTTACCTTTTTCAAATGACTCTTCTACATTAAAGTACAAATATGTAATTTTAGATGTTAGCTGTTTGGATTATGAAACACAACTATGTAACAAGTCATAGAAAGAAAAATTCGTGGTGTAGACAGGTACATGCAATTAAGAGTTTCATCAGAGTGAGGTAAGGGCAAATATTGTTATATTATTTCATATTATTTGTCGTTTCTTTCGTGTTTTTGGAGAACCTATAAAATTATATCTTGTTATGTGACAATATTGTAAACAAGCAAAAAAGGGAATTAGTAGAAGTTAAGGGGCATCTTAGCAATTATCATTAGTGATAGTTAGAAGTTGTTAAAGTGTGTTAGAAGCAGTTACATTAGAGAAGGATTAGAACTACTTAAAGGGGATATTTTCGTATTGTAAAGTAGTTAAGAAGAAATAATACTACTCTCTCTCTCTTTCTCTTTCATAATCCAAAATTCAGTCTTTGTAAATTGTTCAGGAGCTATTCTTGCATTTTGGTTCCTTAGATTTACAGAATTTCTATTCCATTCATTTAGCACATTCCATATCTTGGCCGCTTCATTTGTCTCTATTTAACTTTCTTTTGTTATCTTCCTCACTGTCGTAGAAGTTTATTTGATTCTTCAATGAATTTATCTACTAAGTGCAGGGGAATGATAGCTGTTTGGGGAAAGAATATGTTCGAGACATACTTTTTGTTCTTCTAAGTAGAACTCTAGCACAACTAGGGGTGGCAATTTGAGCCCAAACTCATCCAACCCGCCCAACCCGTCCAGAGATTAATGGGTTGAGCTACAAACATTTTAGCTCATGGGTCAATTTGGGCTGAGCCCAAGTTAATCCATTATTTTTTATAGCCCATTCTGATCCATTAAGCAGCCCAAATACAACCCATGAAACTCACCCAAAACAAAAGGTTCTCAACACAACTTGTCTAAAAATTTACTTAGTTGCCCCAATTTTACTTTTTTTTTTTTGTATTTTTAATTTTCTGTTTTTGTACCACCCACCCACCCTACCCCTAAATTTTTGTTTTATTTTTAATTTTCTGCACCACTCACCGCAAACCCCTCAAGAAAATATTTACTTTTTTGTCAAGCTTAGCAAATGTACATTTGGTCAGACAGAGGTAGAGTACTTGGGCCATATTTTCACTCAGCAAGGGGTAGCAGCTGACCCAGGGAAGGTGAAGGTGATGGTTGAGTGGCCTGTACCCAAAAATGTAAAGGAACTCAGGGGATTCTTGGGTTTAACAGGGTATTATAGGAGATTTGTAAAGGGGTATGGGGTGATAGCTAGACCCCTGAATGATCTTCTGAAGAAAGATAAGTTTGAGTAGTCTGAGGCAGTAACTCAAGCATTTGAAACTCTCAAGATGGCTATGAGTACAACACCAGTGTTGGCACTCCCAGATTTTTTCCAGGAATTCATTATTGAAACTGATGCATATGGGCATGGAATAGGGGCT